GTTTTATGTATCTATGCAATCTTTAACTTGGCCTTCTGTCCTGCACAGCCAAAATACTTACTACCTGACCCTGTCCTGAAGACATTGCAGACTCCTGTTCTAGTTCGTGACCTGAGCAGGTCGCTTTTTTCATTCCAGCGTCCCTGTCTGCAAAAAAGGCTATTGAAAGAAGTAAAGGGGAACTGATGTTAAGCTCTTGCCATGTGTTAACAGTGGATGTTAGATCTTACCTAGTGTAAAGTCAATAATGATCGATTTCTTCAGGGCTGTGCAAAGTAATGTAAGGAGAGATGGGGATCAGCGGGGTGGGGCAAGACACGGTGCTTCCTTTTGGGGTCAGATTCCTGAGGACTAACACCCTGTTGCTGCCTGGCCCCCAGAGCTGTGGACCTCGGATCTAACCAGAACTGCCTCCAACAATCTGCAAATCCCCACAACTTTAATGCTTCTCTGACATAATTTTTCTCATGAAACGCAATGAAGCATAACTAAAAAATGTAAGTAACAGCTTCGGGCCCTTAATGAGGCTATAAATACAGGACGAAAATAATTTATAAAGCTATTTCCTGGTGAAGAACTGTCCTTTTCCGAGACCTCTCCACTTTCTCTTTGCCTGCCTCATTAACACTAGCCATTGGCCTTCTTTGCTAACTCATTTTGAGAAGGACACAAAGCGCTTATCATTTTGTAACAGTTGCTACTTTGCACTCCATGGGAAAAGCAAAGAAGGAAGGTCTGTGAGGTGAGGTGTTAGGTGGACAGCGAGGCTCCCTCATTACCCAGGTGACTTACCCACTGCAGATGGTTCCCACAGCAGAATTACACAGCATCTTCCTTCCCCTTCTGGGGCATGGACTGTAGATATGAACTCTGAGTGCCAAGGCTTAGCAGTGCTGGCCTGAACCCCTGAGTCATTTCAGACCTTCTCACCAACTTCCCTGGGCTCTGGATTGCCTGGAACAGATGGGTCAGTGCTCACTGGGGCTTCTAGCATGAGGACCCAGAGCAGAGTGGGTGCAGAGTCTGGACAGACTGGAGTCCTGGCTTAGCTCAAGTATTTGGAGCCAGAGGCAGGTCCCCACAGCAGACTCAGACGTCCACACGGGACTGCTCCCTCTTGGGTGACAGCCACACTTCCCAGAGCAGAGCTTGAGCAGGAGGCTGTCTGAGGAGAGCCCAAATGGCTCTGGGAAGCCCTCGGCATGGAAGACTGTGGTCCTTGCCCACACTGATGCCACTGTGCAGAGCAGTCTGAAGTCAGAGGGACCTTTGGGGATTTTCCAGGGACGTTTACAAACAAAGTACTGGAAGACTTGGCCTGTGCACGCGCCTGGACATGGAACGTCTGTGTGCATTTGAAGAGTCAAGGCGAAGGGAAAGCAGATGGCCGTCTGCAGGGGCCCCGTAACATGATGGCTGTTGGCATACGGCAATGGCAAGACGTATGTTCATTCTCCAAGTAGGTTTTAGGGAAGCTCTATTGGAGATCTGCAAAATGGCATGCTATTAAGCTGATTGGCGGCTGTACCTGCGTTTGTGTGTCTTACTTTGTTGATTGTTGGGCTTGTTAACTGGAGTGTCAGGAAGCAGAGGATAAAAACATGGGCAGCGGAGCAGAAATCTGTAAGCAGTGGCCTGTGAATGGTTTGCAGATGTCATTTTTGTACTGTATCAGGAACAGGGATATCCCTAAGCGGGAGATCAGTGGAGGGAGAGAAGAGAATGTGGAAGACTCCAAAAGTGGAATCGAATTCCCATTTCTCAGCCGGAACAGTCACCACGACAAACAGTCTGTTCCAGAAGGGGAGCTGGGTGGAATGCAGCAGCTGTCTGCATTTTGTGCACTTGCCCTGTTTTGGCCCCCTCATCAAATATAAATTTGTGGGTGCCAAGATTTTGGGAAGAAGCTGTTGCAGTAGGCTGCTTGCTTTTGCCCGATGGGGGAGGACTTGGATTTTTTTTTTTCCATTCCTGGTGCAGATGGTGTAGTTATTTTAAGTAAGTGATGTGTTGCAGTGAAAATGGGCAACTCTTTTTCATTTTTCAGCTTAATGAAAAAAGAGAAAGGGAGGAGGAGAAACCCCAGCTAGCCAACTTCGTGCTAATGCTTGTCTTTTTTGGATTCTAAATGTGTCCCAAGATACTGAGCTGGGATAAATATTTCAGCCACTAGAAAGTCCTGCTGTCGGGCTGAAAAGATTTCTAACCACTTTTAAAGCAGACAGGGTAGTAATTTACTCGCACTAATCCAGACTTCCCCTTGTCCCTATTTTAACTATGTATGTACAGATTCCACTCATCTGCTTGGGCGAGTCAGGAGGAAATGGGTAGAACTTTCCGAGGAATCCGGCAGGAGCTGGGGATCGATCAGAACCTGAACACTTGGTTTTCTTCTTAGAGCAGCCACAGATATTTATTGGGGAATCTACGAAATAGCAGGAGCCAGGGACACAATGCAGAACGAGACAACTCTGCTTTCAGGACGCATGTTGTCGAGTGATGAGTCCAGATACATCAGCAAGCACATGTTGGGATAAAAGAAAATGCAAGATGCTGTCAGAATGAAATAAGGAGGCTACCTTTAGGTTGGGTGTCATCAGGGATCTGAGTAAGTGATAAAAAGCCCAGGTCCAAAGGAGGAATGAGATGACCTGGAGATAATAGTTCACAAGGGATACCACG